ATATATATATATATATATATATATATATATATGTATATGTATATATAGAGAAGCAAGAGGCTCCCCGTGAGGAGATGGCAAGAAAAATGAGCTAGTGTAAAACGAATCTAACGTTAACACAGATGGATTTTTATTAGAAGGAAGTTCGGTACATTGTAAAAAATTTGTGGATCATTTTTGATTAATTTAGTATTTTTTTATGTGAATAATATAATAAAAACAACCTCTTGTTTTAAACTCAAATAATTTTCTCCTGAATGCTTATTTCCCTAATTTAATGTAACTTAATTTAATTACTAGCAACCTTGCAGTCACTATGTGACAGCCGTGACTTGTCAACTATTAATATATAAAATTTTGCTCTATTAAGCAAGCAATTTTGCTCTATTAGCTTTCATTTGAGTACCTACATGTATTTTTGACATATTTTTCATATATACATATATCTATAATATATATAAATATATGAAAAATTGGTGTGGGTACTCAAATGAAAGGTCCTGATAAGTGTACTTTCGGGATGAGCTTATATCTTTAAAAATATCATAAGTTGACAAGATAGCAATGGTAGTTCTTAATTATTGACATTTTTAAAGATATAAGCTCATCCCGATGTTACACTCATCAAGAGCTTTCATTTGACTACCCACATGCATTTTTGATATTTTTTTTATATATACATATATATAGTATACATAAATATGTGAAAAATTGGTGTAGGTACTCAAATGAAAGGTTTCGATGAGTGTAACATAAGGATGAGCTTATATCTTCAAAAATGTCAATAGTTCACGAGATACAAGGTCATTATTCAATTATCTATCTACGATACCAAATTTAACCGTAAAAACCCATTTTATCATAAAAATACACTGGCCCCAAATTTTTGCTTATTCTCTTAATAATATAGATTTTATCATTTCGCTTCATATTAATAAATTTATAATATATACGCACTCTCCTTTGTAACAAAGATGTACTTAGTCTTTATATGCAATGAATACATTGATACATACATATATTCATACAATAAATACAATATTTAATAATAATATTTGCTACAATTTTTTTTTATTTATAGAAGCAGCATTTTGTGTTAAATTCTCTTTACAATAATTGATTTTTTAAGAAATTCTGAAAATTGACTTATAAAAGTTGATTTTATTTAATTAATCGTAATAATGTTAAAATTTTTTTTTATTTTTTATTTAAAAATCGAAATTTTTGCAAAAATTTACAAAATTAAGCTTGAGAAAAATTGTTTAAAGTATTTTTCAGTAATTTTAAAAATACAAGTTATTTATAAGCTATAAATAAAAATTTATTACATACTCGGATGTTTTTCGGAGTAAATTTCATATTTATTTTACACCCGGAGTGTTTTATTTCTTCAGTCTTTCACGAAGAATTGAAAGCTATTCGGCTAATTTTGGATCTTGATAATAAATTATAAATCTTACTCTTGGGGAAGTTTAATTAAGAATCAATAGTTTAGAACAACTCGCAGAGAAGAAAGAAGAAGAAGAAGGGAATTATTGTTGAAAAAAAGAATAATAAGAAAAGAGTGCGCTGTAATAAGAAAACAAAGTTTGCTAGTGATAAAAAATGTAAGATCGACAAGATTGATGATGAAAAGATTTAAAAAAGTCTACATCACTTTATCGTATTTTCCTGTTTATCCGTGAAACTCTCAACGAGCCGGAAGTGTTGAAGAACCCACATGAGAGATCAGGAGCATTGCAACCGAAGCGAGGCTGGGATGAGAGTAAGAGCTTGAGGATGAGGATGCGGATGCGGATATACCAGCGAGGATGAAACAACCTCTGCCCGGCTTGGGGTTTGGGGTGGCCTAGCTCCACCGAGAGACTGCATAAGTCAGAGAGTGAGAAAAATTTCTACATACAAATGCAAAGTTTGTAGTCGGTACAAGTAGAGCGAGGAGAGAAAAGGGAAAGAGGTTCTTATTCTCGGACTTGAATCTTGAATCTCGGCTCTCAGAAGTTCTTTTTGATATTCACCTCCTTGGAGCGATCCATCCTCTCTCCGCTCCTGCTGTACTATTTCCTATCCCAGGAACTCTAAATATAAAACTAGTGAGGCTCTTTGCTTTTAACTTTTAACTTTTATCTATTTTCATTTGTTTATTTTTGATGACGTCAAAATCACATGGATACAGATTACATCTAGTTGTAGTTAAACAAGTTTATAACTTTTTTACAGAGCTTTGCTACTGGGCTTATAAACTTGTTCTTGGGTCTGTTTTACTCGGATTTACTGAGTGACGTTATTCATTTACAAGTAAATCATGAAAATAATGCTTTTTTATTTATAATATTATACTGCATACGATATTAAGGCTCTAAATATTTAAATATTATTGTATTAAGAAAATATGAAAAATTTTGTTTCCAGGATAGTCATCAGATAAAATTGGTTTTTTAAAATAAAATTTATTGTCATTGCAAAGGTCTTGACTTTAATTTGTACCTTTTCAAGGTTTCATTTCATTCTCACCGATAGTCAATTTATTATAAGTATTTAGGCTGCATTCGAAAATGCTCTATCTCTAGATACACAATTAAGAAATGACCTTTTATCTTGTGAAATATTGACATTTTTAAAGATAAAAGCTCATCCCGATGTTACACTCATAAAGACCTTTTATTTGAGTACCCACATCAATTTTTCATATATTTTATATATTTATATATATGTATATATGAAAAATATATCAAAATGCATGTGGGTACTCAAATGAAAGCTCTTGATGAGTATAACATCGGGATGAGCTTATATCTTTAAAAACGTCAATAGTAAAGAAAGTACAGTGCAATTGAACATAATTAAGGAATGACCTTGTATCTTGTGAATTATTGACATTTTTAAAGATATAAGCTCATCCCGATGTTACACTCATCAAGAACCTTT